ATTGCCTGACTAATATGTGATTCTTTATGTATATGGGATGCACTCCCTTGGTGCTTCGTTAATAGAACTACACATTTATTTTCAAAAAAAAAAAAAACTATCTAATTGACTCATTCACCTTGTTTTGATGATCTCTTGTGTAGCCAAAAAATTTTGCATGTGTATGTGCATTATTGTCATCAGACCATCTCTATGTTTCTACTAACTTTTACGTGCTTTTCTCATATCATAAAAAGACCTGATTTGAAGATGTTCGTTTTTATCCAAACATCTAGTACTTTCATGTGCTTGCAGTTTCTTCAACGAGTGTTTAGCATAGACACCTTGGTGAAGCCTCTTCCACCTGCCATGGCATATAATGTCTCCCGCAACTTGAGCTTCTTCACACGCATTTTCACCCAATTCTTTGGTAAGATTTTTTCCTGATGTCGTTCTTTTAACTTAATACATTGACAACTGTTTTTTATCTGGCATCAAGTGTTACCATAGCCGCAACAATTGCCTAACTTCAACACTTGACATTTGAAATTCCTGTTCATAGTTTTACTTCTTCAGTTTTGAAGCCTAGACTTTTAGGCCCTATGTAGTTGTTAGAAACCCTTCTGGGTTTTCATTTTCTAAATTCATATATTTCCATATACTAATATATATCCATTTGTTGGAAATGGAAACAAAATTTTAGAAATTGTGTTGAAAAAATAGTTTGAGTTTAAGAAGAGTAAGGATTATTTTCGAACTCAACCCATATCTAGACCACCAATTATCAAATATTATTTTCAAACTCAATCCATGTGTTAGTGTATAAACCATGTAAGAATTCAGAGGATGAAAACTCAAGAAGTCTTCTAGAACTAAGCAGGCCTAGGTATTTTGTAACTTTTGGTTACTTCTATGTGCAAGCAGTATTTTAATTTAGAAAAAGTATTGAGGCCGAAAAGTTATCCCAATTGTAATGTTTTGTTTCGCAGATCCTGAAGGTATTGCAAATGCACAAAAATCTCTCGGACTGGGACAGGAAGAGAAAGCTCGTCGTGTTCGATGAGGCAAAAGAGTTTAGTAATGCAGGCATTTCATCGGTCTGTGTTTGAACTATTTTCTTCACTTGGATTCATACAGGAAGGAACCAAACTTGCCCTCTTCCTTGATCGGGAGGAGACAAAGACGAAATCAAGTTCTTTTCAGAAAAAAAAAAAACGAAATCAGAGTAGCAGAGGCTTTTTGATCAAGGTGTATCTAGCTTTTATTTGTGTATTGATACTGTCAAATACTGTTTTCCCTTAAGACATTTATTTTAATTTCAATGAGGTCTGTTCTTTTTGTATAATGGTCTGAAGATTTTAATTTCAACTTGCAATGGCTTTCTAATGGAATAGCTCTTGGATTTCCAATGAAAATTTGCGCTCAATGCTAATAAGAATTGGGTTTGGATCATCTTTTATTTTATATTTTAGTTAATTATAATTATAATTTTTATATTATAACATATTATTTAAGCCAAGTATCTCATACCTATCATAATTAAATTGCTTTTATATCTAATCAAAAGAATTTACAAGTTTAAGATAATTGAATTTTTAGACTCGAATTACAAGTTATAGTGTTTTTGAATTGATCTCATGGAGTTCGAATTATTATGATTCTCGTTTAAATTCATTTTATATCGAAGTCGGATATAAAATTAATTAAACTTTGGTATTATAATTGTTTTAATATCAATTAAATAATTATAAATTATAAGAATTTAGTAAAAATATTATTTTAAAAAAATAATAATGAGTACATTTTCATGTTATATGTGACTTATAATTCATAGTCTTCTATGAATTATTATATACAATATGAAATAAAAATTATTTTAAGTAAAAAATCAACCGCAAATTATAATATTTTAGAATTACAATTTTTAGCTTTAATACTACCTCATAGTTTCTTTAGATATTTTTTTAAATATTATTGTATAATATATAAATATTTTTGAATTTTTAAGTACTTAATAAAGTTACCCTCTTGTAATACTTTAGAATACATATATATACACACATATATATATATGGTTTCTTATAAATAAGATTTAAAGTCAATATTTTTTTAAATAAATCAATAATATTTAGTAATAATGTATAAAAATAAAATAATTCATATTACTATTTTTGGCATTTTTGCTATTAATAAATTTCTTGAATTATCTCCAAAGGATTTTATGTTTCTGGGATATGATGGACGTTAAGCTTAGCCAAACACGAAATCTACCATTCTCTGATTTTTTTCCTTCAAGTCAAGCAATAATCAACTTCCCTTCTCGCGGGTGATCTTTCTTTTCCATTTCTCCTCTGCCATCACTGTTTTTGCGCCGTTTGGTTGCTAGGAAAATTTCTCAGTTCTTCGTTTTGTTCCTCCTTTAGCTTTTCCTCTAATCCTCGGGTCGACTTTAAGAACTGCAAGCGTTTCGGAGGTCGAACGGAGGTAACAGTTTTTCTTTCTTCGTGGATTTCATTAATTTTTAATAATCTGTTTAGTTGCCGGGAAATGCTGGAAATTGAAAGCGTTCTGTTTTCTCTTAGTGTTTGTAATCCAGATTATCAATTCTTGCTGTGTATTCTTCATTATAAATTTTGGCGTTATGGGTCTTTTGTTCACAGAGATGGAGGTTTCATGTTCAGGAGAAGTCAAAGAGTCAACAGAGTAGCAACCACTTCTTGGTTCATGTGGTAAAAGGGTAAATTAGTTCATTATCAATTTACTCCCACTGCTCTTTGTACCCATTTGTTGAGCTTCTATATTTATAGATGATTTTACGGGTTATGATTGCATTGGTGATAAGTTATCACATAAAATTGTATGATTCTTTTCAAAGTTGTATCATCTTGATTGATACATTGTGTATGTATTGCTTTATCAGTTTCAGTATATGTTGAGTGAATAGTCTGAAATTTCAAGGATCCTCAGGTTAAGTTTAGAAAAAATCCAAAACTTATGTGAAATGTATTTACAAACCCACATTTACTTTCACTAGTTAGAAAATAATGAAAATTGAGGTTATATAGAATTCCATGTGGAATAGAAATGATACTTCCAAATCTATCAATTGTGATGGAACTTGGAATAGATTGCTCTATTTCTGAATGGAATTCTATGTATACTCAAATTTTCTGTCATTCTAAAACAGTTTACATTTCTCCAAATTAAACCTAACGAATTCCACATCATTTTCTATATTTATTCCAGATATTCTTAAATCGGTTTTCAAAGGGATTTTGGATTTCCGGCACCATATTTGGGAACTCTTGAAAAATTTGTAGTTCATGAACCATGAGGAGATGAAATTTCTGAATTGATTAGACTTTTTCCATGCATCTGAAGTTGAAGACTATAGCATTGCAGGGGTGAAACTTTGACCTCAATATCAAAGTGGTATGGGGTGTCCACAGATGATATTGCAGCTGCTAATAAGGATATACAGGATATTGACCTTGTTTCTGGAGGAAAGCTTCTTTATATTCCTACTTCTACGGTGAACATCGCACGAGTGGTGAGTGAAGTAGCATTTTACCATCTAATGGAGTAATCTTTTTTTAGTTTTATATGCCAAATTTGTTCGGATTTTTGTCTGATATGTAACTGAGGTGTGATTGATGCATTTTTGTTTGGTTCTTTTAGTTTGAAAATGCAATGACCTGTTGAATTTCGAAAAGAAAAGGTGTAAGGAAAGAATTTATGACTTATCTGATGCAGGTCCTTAAACTCGAACTCAAAGCATATCGATTATACTGAAATTTTTGTAAGGATGGATGGAATGTCGAAATAGTATGAAGGTTTTGGTTGGTTTGCCTGATTCCACTATGATTGATTTATATTTTCACTTGTCAAGAAAGAGATCACACAAACAACTAATTTGAATTGAATACAAAATTGACTTTGAATTATAGTGCTATTTTTTGTTCAATTTTCATAACTTTTTTTGTAGTATATTCCCATTCTGTTCAATAGAATTAATATTTAAATAAAATGCAAACCTAGTACTCACATATGATCTCCATTTAAGTGCCCATGAAATGTACTTGTGCTTTTATTAGAATACAGAGGAATACATTTTCAAAATACAAGCAACTCATACAGTATAACAGGAATTTCGTGGAAGTTTGATTAATTACATTAAGTATATGGTCAGAAATCTGTTCTGCTTAAAACCACAATTATTATTCAAGTGCTTTGTACACCTGGCTTCTGATTTTCTACATTTTGCTGTTTTACTATTATCAGGCCAAAATGAGTAGGTTGCCTGGCGTAACTCTGAAAGGGAATCATAAAATCATAAGAATATTGGACAGTCTTTCAGAGAAAAAGGTTCTTTCATGGTCAACAGCACATAGTCTGCCACATGTAAGCACATATTTGAAATGCTGTCTCCATTCTATTTGATAATTCAATAGCTAACATCTTCAAATTGCATTCTCTCCTTAAATTCAAAGTTGGTAGTTAGCTCAAAGACACGGCATTCTTTTTTCCAGGTTAAGAAGAGTGCTTATTTTCTAGTACTCGTTCCTCTTATGGCATTTTGCAGCAAATGTCTTATTGATGCTCTATTTGCAAGAATTAATGGAAATCAAGATAATTCTTCTACAGTTCATGGATTCAAAGATCACTGTGGTTCGAAAAGTATGCGCTGGAAATCTGCTCTTGGTGACATAAATGAACTGGATACACTTGATTCTGGCTCGATTCCAGATTCAAAGGTTGGTACTTATTTTAGCATGGTGGTTCTTGTTTGCAGCCTTCTGTAACACTTCAAACTAGTGTATATCATATGTTCTTGATCACTCGCTGTTGCTGTGTAGTTGTCTTAGGTAATTTCCTTATCCCCTCCTTATATTCCATTCGCTATCTGATTAGTACACCTGAATGCATCATTATGTTAGTTCTCTTAGATGCTGACTTTGCTGCATTCCAATACATCGGAGATTTCTTATCTTTTTCCACATACATGTTCTAATTCCACCCTACTTCGAATATTTTTTTTTTGTTTTTTGAAATTTAAGATTTTAAAGTTCTATATTGAAGAACTCTTTTTTTAAATTAGCTTGCAGTGCAGTTTCAGAGGTATGGTAATTCAAGTGGTTGTCAACTTTGTTAGGCACTTCAAACGGTTATTGTCAATTCCCTCTGTTAGTACCAGGAATTACTTAATTGGAGCTTGTTTACTTTCTGCAAAAGCAGAGGTTGATGAATATGCAACGATCAAAATCTTTCTGGCCTTTTGGTATGTGTTTTTAGTATTTTTTCCTCCTGCAAGGCTATATGTATATGTGTGGGTATTTTGAATTCATCCCTCACGTGAAGTAGGTTCCCTGACCAAACATCGTAAATTCTATCCCTACTTCCATATTTTCTGCTTTTGATTTACTTATAAAATTCATCACATTGCATAACACTTCAGATTGGCAACTAATTGGGATTTTTCTAACTAATTTTGGATTATTTTACAGAATCCTTCCGAAGATCAAGCTCAAAATTTGATCGAAGATGAATGTCAATCTGATGCCTACAGCAAACTTGAAAGTGATTACCAGAAATTTCTGTCAGAATGTGGAATGAGTAAATCGGGATACTGGCGAGGAGGTTCTCCCAAGTAAAAAAGATTACCCATGTCAATCTTCTTCCAAAAAGCAATAGAAAAGATTCCAACTGAAATGAAGCAGATTTGAGTATTGGAATTACGATTCAACCTACATCCAAGGAAAAATATACCAATCATTCAGTAAAAGGAATCATGAGAATTGAAGTGAATCGAAGATGGTGTAAATTCTTTATCTTCATAGTCGTATATTCCCTTTTAGAGAAAGATTAATAACTGTAGAAGGTCTCAAAACAGTATAAATACTTTGTGGAGAGTTCTGCTTAGTTCACTACAGTTTGTAGTTTGTACATATTTCTGGGTGAGGAAACAAGAATAGGTTGCAATTTGTTGCGTGTACATTATTACTGGAGATCTTACAGAATTTAATTGATATTGTGGACAACTATAACTTGTAAGGTGAATTTTAAACGCGATGTTAATGTAGTTGTTAACTAAAAGTATTTTTACCCAAAAATTTGTTGTTTGATGGAAGTAGTTGAAAAAAGTACTGTCATTATAAAAAAGCAGAAATTTTTTTATATCTACACTATGATATTTAAACAATCATAATATGAAAATTAATGATTATATAAACTATAATAATTATCACATGAATGGGGAACAAAATCATTCTTAAATTAAATTTTCACATCATGTAAATATATGCTCTATAACCAACAAAGTAGAGGTCTGTATCTGATATGTAAGAGCTGGAGCTGAGCTGTGGCTGCACTTACATTTACTACTTTCACCACCTGTAGAAGAAAACACTTGTGACTTCCACAACTGAAAGCTTCCTTTTCACACACCCATTTTGCCCCATATCCAAAAAGCTTCAACATTCCATATGAAAGCCATTAATATTTACCCAAACAGCTAGCATACCATCCAACTAAATTCACCCAGCTCTGCCTTACACTTACCGATATATATGTGCATACGTTCATGTTTGGTTAATCTGACCCATTCAAGAAATTCCTTGATTTCTCAGATCTCTCCCTTGAACTGATCAAAAATAAAGATGGAGAAGATGGGTTTTACCAATTTATTGTTCTTGCTCATGAATTGGTTTATGTTATGGTTAATGGTTAATAATACCTGTCCAAATTTGGTACAGGCGCAGGTGCAGCAACCACAAGTGCCTTGTTTCTTTATCTTTGGTGATTCACTGGTTGACAATGGCAACAACAATAGGATTCTTACTCTTGCTAGAGCGAATTACCGGCCTTATGGTATCGATTTCCCTCAGGGCACCACTGGCCGATTCACCAATGGTCGAACCTACGTTGACGCTCTTGGTATAAATAAATACATGCATTAATACATACCCTTTAGTCCTTTATAAAATTGTTAAAGAATTGTTTTCATGTGAGAATTCTGATTCTCTTAATAATAACTTCACCTTATTATTTTCATATTAGTTCTTCTAACTCAACTATTTACAGCGCAACTTCTTGGATTTCGTAATTATATTCCACCCTATGCTAGAGTCCGAGGTCCTGCTTTATTGAGGGGAGCCAATTATGCTTCAGGCGCAGCCGGTATTCGCGATGAAACAGGCGATAATCTGGTAAAATTTGCTAATTATTTTTCTAAATTATTAAATGCTTTAGATATAATTTACCTTCATTTATTTATTTTTAAATTAACATACGTTTAAATTTTTGGCAGGGTTATCACACATCAATGGATCAACAAGTAGCCAATTTTGCAAATACAGTGCAAGAACTTAGTAGATTCTTCAGAGGAGACACAAATCAAGTTAAAAATTATCTGGGCAGATGTATTTTCTACTCAGGGATGGGAAGCAATGACTACCTAAATAACTATTTTATGCCCAGTTTCTATTCAACTAGCTCGGATTACACTACTCAAGCATACGCTAACCTTCTTCTTCAAGATTATACACGACAATTAACTGTAAATAACGTTTCTTCAACTTAAAAATTATATTAAAATAAAAGTATTATGTCTTCCGAATTACATTTCACTAAAAAAGTTAAAATTTACAGCAATTGTACAACTTGGGAGCTCGGAAGGTGATCGTAACAGGCGTTGGACAAATAGGTTGCATACCTTACCAACTAGCACGCTACCGCGGCAACAGCAGCCGATGCAATGAAGACATCAACAAGGCCATTACTCTCTTCAATACTGGACTTCTCAAACTTGTTAGCCGCATAAATTCGGGCCAATTGCCCGGAGCCCGATTCGTTTACCTTGATTCTTATCGAAGCACTTACGATCTCTACACCAATGCATCCTCATATGGTAAATTACATGTAAATTCATCCGATTTTCGTTACCCTGTGCTTGATTTGTAGTTATAATTGTGTTTATGAGTTCAAAAAATTAATATGGAAAGAATTAATTACTGTTACAGGATTTGAAGTGATAGACAAAGGATGTTGCGGAGTGGGAAGAAACAATGGGCAGATTACATGTCTTCCTTTTCAGCAACCTTGTGCCGACCGTACTAAGTACTTGTTCTGGGATGCTTTTCATCCTACTGAGGTTGCTAATATTGTCTTTGCCAGGACATCCTTCTCTTCTAATTCCTATACTTATCCAATTAGTATACAACAATTGGCAAATCTATGAAGATATTCTGTACTGATGCTTCGTCACGACGTCGTTTCCTTGACTCCCCACATCGATGCCTCCACACGACGTCGTTTGTTTGTTTGTTTTTTTTTTTTAACTTCCTGTATTGATGATGGCTGCAGACGACTACTTTCTAGTATTCTTTTGATAAGTGCTTTTCCTGGGAATGGAAGCATTAATTTCATGAATTATTATCATTATTATTATTATTATTATTGTTTTGATATATTTGTAATTGAATTAATAAATCAAACTCTCCACTTCAATAATTCTCTCAAATTAATTAGAATTAAAAAAATTATTAAGCACTTCAAGAAGTATTGACGAGTTAAAAAATTGGCTACTCCTGATTAGTTTAATTTATTTTTTCACAATTTTTTAAACAAAAAATTAAAATTGAGTACTAAAGCGAGTTTGAAAGCATAATAATTTTTACTCACAAATAATTTAAAAATTAAAGAAAAGGAAAAGAAGAAGAAGCTATATTTATGTTAACTAAATTATTTTATTTGGTATAGGAAAGTAGATCATGGGCCACCATGCATGAAAATTTCAAACAACGTACATTAATCACAGAAACAGGAAGCTAGATCAAGTACATGCATGCACCTCTATATAAATATATATATATATATATATAACCAAAAGTAATATATAGATATAATCAGAGTCCAAATTCAAATCTTGGGTAAATTAAAGGCTAGCGAGCTGCTGAATATTCATTGGGTAAGCAACACTGAGATCGCCATTAAAGGCTCTTCTTCCCATAATTACATTAACCTTCTCCGTCGGGTGGAAAGCGTCCCAGAACACGTACTGGTCTCGGTTAGGACACGGCGTCTGGAACGGCAGACACGTGATCTGGCCTCTGTTCCGGCCGATCCCACAGCACCCTCTGTCCACCACGCTAAACCCATAAGACCCGGCGTTCCCCACAATGTCCTCGAACAGTCGAGCCACGTCGATGTAGATGAATCTGGCGCCGGGGAGATTAACGTTCAGGTTGTTTATCATGGCTTTTACGTTGTTGTTGACGGCATAACCAGCTGGTTCACCTCCTCCGAGCACCTCCCGGCCGGGTTCTGAGCCAAAATGCTCGGGATGCAACCCATTCGTCCCAGCCCGGTTAGCACGAATTTCCTCCCCCCGAGATTGTACAGACTCTGTTTAGCAAAACCCAGTGAAATTCATTAAGGAAATTTTGGAAAGATAAGAAAAAGGTCGGAAGAAAATGAAGTTGAGTGAGGAATTTTTACAGTCAATTGGCGGGTGTACTGTTGACCAAGAAGCTCTGCGTACTGCTGAGCGTTGTACTGGTTTCGGGTCGGGTAATTGGGCATGAGATAGTTGTTTAAGTAATCGTTGCTGCCCATTCCGATGAAGAAAATGCAACGGCCGATGGATTGAGCCACATCGGCGGCGCCCAAATTGGCTGTGATCTGATCTAACGTGTTTTCGAAGTTTCTGATTTGTTGATCGAAGGGTATGCGACCCACCTGATCATCAATAAAATTCTCACATTATTTCAGAACATAATTTCGTGTCCAATAAAATTAATTAAATAATGTAAAAAAGTAAATTCATTCCATTAATATGTATCTCATCGAACTTCAAAATTTTAATTTATTACAAGTGGAGAAATACCACATAATCAAAAGGTGATAAACTCATTCGTTTGATATCTAATTTTAAAATATTATTTATAAAAATGTGATAAACTATAAAAAGTTAAAAATTATAATTTTTTTTTTTAAATTTAGTATTTGTTTTATAAATATTGTATGTATATTATTGGACCTACCAGTGTCCAAATCATACTTCCATGTCACCTTGCTTGTGAACACATTAATAAAAGCCCATGTGTACTTTTGCCCACCCCAGTATTTATTACAACTTCTAGTGATTTCCATGGTACCCAACTTCTTCATCTTGCTTTTTTATTTTTTTATAGTATGTAGCTGAATTGCATGCAATATATATATATATATTGATAGACTTTATTGTGTCATAATTTTAATCAAATAATTAAATTTTAGATCATGCTCATATATATATATGTGTTATGTTATAATTTGTATATGTACGCTCTTCACAATTGCTTACAAAATTTCTGCCGGTGATGTCGAGAATGCCGGCAGCCGCGGATGCATAGTTGACACCATGAAGCACTTGATTCCCAGAAGCTTCAGAGTATGCAGGAATCAGAGGCAACCCTAGCAGCTCAGCTGCATAATCAAAAGCAAATTACTTTAATAATAATAATAATAATAAAACTTTAATAAATTTATATACAAAACAGAATAATATTAAAAATTCAATTAATTTTATGTTAATATTTTTTAAATTAATTTTTGTATGAACAAGTGCTTAAAAATTATTGGAATAGATGAAATTGATTTTTGGTCTGACGGATTTGAGTTGGCTTTCTGACACTAATTAATAATTCCTAATGCTATTATTTTGGGTAGGTAAATGCAGAGCCAAGAAATTTTGGTCATTGATTAATTGAATTTCGTACATGTTATTTCGTGAAATAAGACTTTAGAATTTGACCATATTACTTGATTTTGCAATGTTGTCAGTCTGTGTATATATATATATCTGTGTGGTTGGGTATATATATATATATATAAGGTCTCCCATTTTATATTGCTAAAAAAACCACTGGGTCGCTCTCATATATTACATTACTGACGATTAATTAATTATTACGACTAATTTAATCACCGAAACATATTAATCAAGATGGATTTATATTAATATTAATGTGAGTAAAGGTTAATTACATGCATGCACGTAAAATCGAAAACTTACCTACAAATTAAAATAATCAATATTTCTCATCCCACTTCTTTTTAACCTTAATAACAACCCACTGTAATTGTTATTAATTTAATCAGTTAAAATGTTAATATTTTTACAACTTTGAAATTTACTTATAATGATTTAATTTATATTTTAATAAATTATACAGTTTTTAATTGGTTAAATAAAATATACCATGCTAATCACATATTCTACATGCATGCATGTGATTCAAACAAGAAGAAACACCAAATCTCCAATCACACATACACATATATATATATATATACATATGTATTTATATGTAGATTATATAGGCAATTAGCAGAAGAGATTGAAGAAGATATAAGTACCAATTTCATCAACCATGGTGTAGCCGTTGGAGAACCGACCCGTAGGTCCACCATTGAAATCAATCCCATAAGGAAAATAATTAGCCTTAGCAAACGACGGAAGATTATTATTATTCCCATTATCGATCAGAGAATCTCCGAACACGAACATCGCCGGAACCATCTCTCTCGGTCGGGTAGAACTCCTTCCGCCGGCGGGTGCAAATGGGTCGAACTCCACAACTTGACCCGACACCATAAGCATCACCCTATCCGCCAAAATTACCAGAAACAAAAAACACAGTCTGCAATGATTAGCAGTTGCAGCCATGGCGGTCGGTGGATCGAACTTGAGAGCAGTTTGGGGTTACTAGTGATGTCGAGTGTGGAAAACGGAGCGGGATTTAATAAGGGAAAGATGAAAGAGAGGTTGGTGAAAAGGAGTAAATGCGTTCATCTGCTTTCCTCCATTGGAGTAATTACGAAGGTGGTGTGGTGCAACATGCGCGTTTATCAGAGTCTACAGACACTTGCACATCGCGTCCATGTTTACTGATTCTTTTTCATAAAATTTTATTTTTTTTTCCTCGAGCATTAATGAAGATCCATGTAAAACTGCTGTAGTTGGGAACTGGTTTTTTGCCCATATCAAAGCCAAGCTATTTATGTATAAACGTATATATGGTTGACTATTGGGTGCTAATGATCAGACAAACCGGAAAACCTGCCCACATAAATGTGTGTGTATATGTGCCTGTGTGTGTATCAACTGGAAAACAACTGATATAATTCCCCGAATGCTTAAGGCTAACTAATAAATAAGAAATCTCGTGGCTTTAAAATTACTTCCATGTATTTTATTTTGTGAGTTCTAAAGGTTTTGTTGAAATAACTATTAACTAAAAAGTATTTTTAATCTAAATTTTTAAGTATTTGATAGAAGAAGAGAGTATTTTTTATTCAAAAAAAAAAATTGAAATTATGTGTTTGATGAAAATAACTCTTAAGGTTTAAATGATTAAAAATATTATAAATTTTTTAAAAAAATTAAAATTATTTTTACTTTTAAAATTATCGATAATAGATTTTAATTTTTACTTATTGTCAAAAGCACTTTGCATTTTGCTTGTTCAGTTGTAGAAATGTTTCTAAAACTCAAAAACTGAAGTAAAAAGTTTGAGCCAAATGCCCTCTTACTAAATTGAGTGCATAAATTGTATACTGATTAAACATATTTTTTTAATTATGGGAGTTCTTCTATTAAGTTTTATTTAACTTTTCGAATAACAGAGCTGGCTTGACGTTCTAAAAGAATCATTACAGTAGTGAAATTTTCCTTTCACCTGTACGTATTCAAGATATAATGAACTAAGTAATTCTTCTGCAACCGAGGTTCCTCCAAGTTCTTTCATCCATGGTTTCTCTTTTCATTACCCTTTGCTATGAATACAAATTATTGAACAATATTTTCCATTTATTTAACACATCGAATTGAGAATTTTCTTTTTTTTTTTGGAAAAATAAGAACATTGAAGAGATCGTCAAGAAAGCAAGAAGCATATGTCGTAGTCAATGGTAAAAGATTTAAAATTTCAAGAACCAGACCCCTCATGAATCTTGATAACATTTTAGTTAAGAAATTAAAGAATAAAAAAAAAAGTCAACACCCCCCCCAAAACATGAAACCAAACGGTTGGAAATTGGATAGCCGGTTGACATAAATAAAGCTGCAGTCTTGAGTCTCGGCAAGGCCGAGGTTGAAGAAGATTAATTCCATTTCTTTTTTTTTTTTTTAATAAATGTATAAGTAGATATTCAATATATAGTAAATGTAATCAAAATAATTTTGCCCGCTTATAATAGAACATGAAAGAGAAGACCAACAGAATACCCAGAAGAAAAAGAAAGGCTGTTAATTGATTTGGGATGAAGCAGAAAGAGTAAAGCTCTCTTATCTACATAATATATATATATATATATATATATAATGAGGGTTCTTAAATTTTAACCAACATGGCTCTTCCCAAGAAATCCATGTCTGTTTTGTAAGCTGCCGACGGAATTTGACTTAACTACAACATTTAATGCACGCTCAAATCTTTCTCCATAACCCTTTGTTGTTTTTGGTAAATTTTTCAAAATCTATGTTCATTATAGTTTAATCAGAAGTATCAGTAAACATATTCTAAATCATGATGATAACTCAAGCAAACCAGAACAATACAAATGTTTCTTTTCTAGTTTTCAAGTTCGATGTCATACATGGCACAAGCACATATATATATATATATATGTATATATATCTTACAGTATTATTGTAAATGCTAATAATAATAATAAAGGAAAAGTATCACACAGACGACTGGTTTATTTGTCTAAGAAGAAATGTGAAGTTAATTTTTAGGCTTGAAACATTTCATTTGGCAAGGTTAGTGGGCATGAACTAGTACTACTACCCAGTAGTGTTGCATAGTCAGTAGTATTCTCTTCTATCTGCAAATAAATAAATAAATAAAAATAATTATTATTTCGATGAAAATTTTATTAATATTTTATAACAACTAATTAATTAATTAATTAATTACCTTTTCTTGAAGATACATATTTGCCGCTGTCAGTATTCCTTCCTTTAAACATAATAAATTCAATAAAATTATTAATCTTTCAAAAAAAAAAATAAATAAAAGAATTAGGATTTGACAAATTATTTGTTTAAATAATAATAATAATAACGAAATTAAATACAGAAATTAGTAATTAAGTTGAGATCATACCTTATTTTTCAACAGTTGGATCTCTTGAGATATAATATCCATCTGGGCGCATTTAAACAATTTATAATTAATATATATATATATATATATGTAAGGAATAAAGTCCAACTATATATATAAATTTATGTACTATTTTTTAATATTTAAATTGCTCTTAATATTAATTATTATTTTTTTGGTGGGGTTTTTTAAGTCTGATTATTTTTTTTTTAAAAATTGATATTAGTTATTATTTGCAATCTGTCAGTTAGTAGATTTACTAAATAGTAGTAAAATGGAGAAATGACTATTTTTAATTCCAAAAATTTCTATATATGTCGATATGTAAACAAATATTTTAATATTTAATTATAAATAAATTCTTCCTGACTTCCATTTGATAGTGAAAATGAATTTTTAATTTTTTAAAATTATTAAAAATATTTATTATATATCACGCGAAACATTTTATATACAATTAAAAACGGGCAATATTTGTAATTTGTTGTGCTTGCAAATTTACTAATTTATATATTTTTCAAAAGTAATATAAGAATTATATATGTATGTATATATATACTTACCTTTGTTGAGCGTATGTGACATATCCAAATCTCAAGATGCTTTTCAAGAATGAGTAATTCATCTAAAGTCATCGTCTCCGCAGCTTCTCCTCCAAACATATAACTATACAGGAATTAATTAATTTCTATCTTTAACAAAAAATTTTTGAAGTCAGTGTTCTGAACCATTACGACTACGTACGCACTTTGGATAAATTATAATAAAATCGATTTAATTAGTATATAAACTTAATTTAAAAAAAAAAAATTAAGTAAATAGTTGCATTATTATATTTATAAAGTAATAAAAATAAAATAAAATATTAGTACCCGAGTCCTTTTTGGAGCATCTCAATTTCCTGTTTCAACCGAATGGTTTCCTCCTTGGTATCCTGCACGTCGTTAAATTCAGAGTTAATTAATAAAAATAAAATATTAAATTATTCGATATTCTCTAGAACATGTTCTTATTTGGTAGGATCAGTCCCTCTCCTCCCCCACCTTTGATTTTGACACCACATATTTCTAATTATTACTCCAAATTATTAAATTTTGATATTTATTGTAAATTATTCATAGATATATATATATATATATTCTCTTAATAATTTTATTTAAAGAATATTAAGAATTAAACTATAATGAATGTCAAATTTTAAGGATTAATATGATAATTACCCTAATTACTATTAAATAATAACAACTAAATCAGGATATATTTGTTCTGCAGTCTGTGTGTATGTATACTGTGCTAAATAATTCTAATAGAGAGAGAGAGAGAGAGAGAGAGTCCATGCCAGATTGATGCTCAATTCATATGGCTGAGCAGCTCCATTCAACTTCGCGTACCTCTCAATAAGCTCTTGCATCGTTCTGTAATAATCAAACAGAGAAGAAAAAAATGCATCGTCAAATAAATATAATCAATATATATATATATATATAGTAGTATTATTTTTAATGTTAATGGCATAAAATATATATATAAATTTATAAAAAGAAAATGGGGAATAATTTTTATTAATTACTTTTTGTTATTATTAGTGGAATAACACCTCTGTTATAAGTCAATATTAAATAATTGCGCTATTATACCTTACCAATTATATATTTTATTGAATACTTTTTTTTAATATTTTAGATCTTATTTCTATTAATATTAAAAAATTTATCAAATAATATGCTAACAAGTTTGATGATCAAAATTTTAAAAAAAATTTATTAATTAATTGATTAGTCTATATATAAACATGGATATAAAGAACCACTCATATAACATACATATATATATATATATATATATATATCAAGTAAAAAAATATACATAAAAAGGGGGAAATATATAATAAAAGTTGAGTTTATTACCCATTGGTGGCGAGTTCATAGAGCTTGCCATGGGAGGAGAAAATGAAGAGTCCAATATCAGCATCGCAGAGAACCGAGAGCTCCTTTGCCTTCTTCAGCAGCCCTGCACGTCGTTTGCAGAAAGTTACCTGGCGGTGGACCGGGTTCTCGATTTTCTTAATCTGAATCTTTCCACGAGCCATGATGATGATGATCCCTAATTAATATGATTGATTGATTCTCAGCCGTTGATTTTCTTGACTAAATAATAATGACCTTCTTCTTCTTCTTCTTCTTTTTGCAGACAACCCCCCACTAGTTTGAACTAGCTTCGAGGCTGTTGCAGTGGTTCGCTTTCTGGGCAACCTTGAGCTTCTTCAATAATCAGTAATGGCGGAGGTTCATCCATGCTTTTATATTGCCTTTGATGGGATTCTCTTCTTTATTCACTTTTTACAGTAAACAATATAATAATAGCTGGCCTCCTGCCAACTTTCATCTCCTCGCACTAAAAATTTCATTAACAGCCACTAATCTTTTTTAATTAAATTCTTTAATTGTCACCAGTTACATACATACATATATATATATACATAAATGATCTGCTTTTCGAAGAACGTTATTTAATGTAAAGTTTCTTTACTATGCTGCTCATGATCTTATATATATATTTATACACACAAATTATATGAGATATGGCTGCAGGTATGTTTGTGTGTATACTGATGTACGCATATATGTATATATATGGAGATAACATGATACAACTATATATACTAATTATAAGTCTAATGTTTTATCTTATTTATCTAATATATATCTATTATTACCTAGAAAACCCAATTCTTATTATATTACTTTTACAACTTAATCATATTTGTAGTTACATATATAAATACATATATGTATATATGTATGTTGATATGTACATATATATGTAAACAATGGGCAATTTGAGTAAAATAATACAAGAAAAATTACAACCAAAATATTAAATAAACTAAAATTTTAAAAAATAGAACTAAAATAAAATTAAATAATAAAACTTAAAACAAAGTAGAAACTAGAGAAGCTTTGGAAAACATTATGAGCAATAAAACATTTTTTATCACCATACTACTTTTTTTTTTTTTGTTCAATTTAGTGTCGGTCTCAATTTTAAATTAAATTTAATTATATATTTTTAAAAAATTTATATTAATAACTATTAACTATATTAGCACTTATTCTATACGTCATTGAATTTAATATACGACATAACTTGATTGCATATTTTTTTACATAAGATGTTACGTGATATTTGACATATAAAAATATTTTAATTTTGAAATGGTTTAATACAACACTCCTGAGTCCGAGAATTTGGCTTAAACTGGTAAATTTTAGTTTTTTTCTAAATGATAATAATATATAAGTTTTAATTTTAATTTTTTATTGTTTTTATGTATTTTGAACGTTTTTGAAACAATTTTCAAAAATCATAACCAAATTGTAAATAAAAGAATGGTATATTTGAAAGAAAAATTTGAAAATAATGGTCAATTTGCAAAAAGAAAGAATACAGGCCACGTATACGCCCAGTCAACGACATGACGAATTGTCGCGCGCCGTGTGATAGACATGCCGACATGGGTTCCATGTGGGAGGCCACACGGGCAATCTGCGTGTCAGGCTGATCGAACGGCTTGGGGCCACTTCCGCGCCCATGAATGACCCAGCTCAATTCTCCGAATAAGTCTGATCGAACGATCCACGTGCCTTCAATCGAACGGTTCGAATTCATTTCCCGAATAAGCAAGATCTAATGACTACTGTTGATCCACGCGGGCCCCAATGGATGGCCCATATCGAGGGGAGGGAAGTATTTAAACATCTCGTTCGGCTGAACTCAAAACCCTAACCGACATGCCTCGCCGGAGAAGAAAAAGAAGGGCGGCCAGAAGGAGACCCAGCCGCTAGAGAAATGCTGGCGCCACCATGCCGAAATGCTGAAAACACTCTGGTAGGATGAAAATTCTTCTCGTTCTTCCCATTTCCCCGCCTTAGCCATCAAACATGTTTTCGATGTAGGGTAATCAAGAGATGCTGCAAACTGCAAAGAAAGAACGACGGAGCTCGGCTGAGCTGCCGCACTAGAGGACTGAAACCACCGGTAAGCATATGTTTTTTCCCTTCCTTTCCCCGAGAAACATCCCCTAACCATGATTTAAATAGATTTTCATTAAAAATAGATCTGACCGAGAGAAAGAGCCACTGGATATGGAGGACCAAGCGGTAAAGCACGGCGGCGCCACCGCGCCTCGATCCCCAGTGAGATTGCCATTTTTTCGCAATTCCTCACATATTTTCACTCCATTTTTTACATATATTTCAATCTTATTAGAAAAAATTTAAGAAATTCAAGAACCGGGAACAAAAAAAAAATAATATTCTGAACACCAACCCAGTGTAAGAATCTCTCACCCATTTTTTTTTGTTATGGTGAAATTAAAGCTAACTTAATAATAAATAAAAATTTTAGATAATTGGCGATTTCTTGATTAATTAAGTACAGGTTGTCAATGGAGTCAGTAACCGGTTAGTTTATGCGTATTTAATTGTACTATCTATTTCTCAAATGACTATTATGCTTATTTAATCACTTTGTTTTATTTTAACTACTTCAATTTATTTGCCTTAATCTATGTTTTCTGTTGTTCTATTTTATACATTATATGTTTCGGTCCGCATAATGTATATTTATTTCATTTACATATTCTGAAACATGAATTTCGTACTCTTATCTTGTTTGGGGATGCGGGCGTACGTCTCATTCGAGCATAAATAGTAAATAAAAGAAATTATATACGTGAACTAATG